TTTACTTACATGGATAAGAATGTAGAAGGGACTTGTTTATACTTGTAAATGCTTGAAATAATTTTTGAAATTTTCAAAAAGTCAATTTTACCTTGTAAAAAATTTTCATCTGGGGCGCGCCTGTCATATCATGCCCCAGAAATCCTGGGACCGCTAGAGTATGACTCATTTGACCATGATATTATACTTACGGCTCTTGCAGCCAGAATATAAACTTACTTGCATGGTTGTGGACAATTACATTCCTTGATAATGTCGAAGACTGAGGAGTCAGCATTCGAAATGCGCTCGATGCAGTCCACTGAAATATAATACCCAAACCGTTGCTTAAAAACATGACTGCCACTTAAGCTGATTAATCACTTTTTGTATTATAGATATCAAGCAAAAATCAATGTAAAACATGCTAATGGCTTGAGTCTCCTTTTCAGAAGGACTCTTCTTCTTATAGATCGCAAACATTTTGGAAGTGGTCTACTAGTGGACTGAAAAATGTGCAAGTGACTTGTTCCTTTCTTGTGTAGAATTGGAAAAATTCTGGAAAACTTCTAAGTATTGAAATAGTCTTGGCAAGAAAATTCTGGGGCCTTAAATTCAGGAAACAAGAAGCATCTGATGCGCTAAGACTGATCGCTTCAGCTCATATGATGTAGCAGTGGACAGTCACAGAACAAAAGGGATAAGTTTGGTTTTCGAAAGGAGATCTCAAAAGGGAATTCTTACATCTTGAAAGAGTGTCATTGACGGTGTCACAACTCAATATGGTACTGTCATTGGCGTGTGGATATTCTGGATCATAGCAACCACAGTTTTTGATGATCTTTTCCTGCAAGCAGTTCCGAAAGCATGACTCCACCTGGAAAGTTTGATATTTAGGAATTTACAAGTTGTGTGCTCAAAAACCTCATATGGTCCTTTATAATGCTTCTCCTCAAGCATTGTCTGAGTAGTACATGTTCCGTATGGGTTTGGCAATCTTTCGGTTTTAACAAATCGAACTCCAATGGATGTGGCTGTTCCTGGAGGAGCGAAGTAGCCAAGAACGTCCGGATATGGCATCTCGTCCTGCAAACATTGCCAAATCAAAAGAGCTAAGAAAAACATTGAGATATACAGTTACATAAACGCTATTATGAGTTCAAAAAACTTCAGCCTCCCAAGTCTTCAATTTCATAAGTTTTCCTCTTACGGGACTTGACTATTGTTTGAGTGTTTGCTTGTCACCCACGCCCTATGCTTGCGTGACAAACTCAATCCGGAACTGCATTCTTGGTACTCAGATTTGGATAAGCAGAGGAAACCTGCTAAGAAATTTGATAGCGCTGTAAAATACAACAACCACATCACCCTCATTCTCCATGCACCGGAAACGCAGAACATATTTGATGCACAAAACGTCACTTTATATGTATGATTTCTCTAAAATTGTATCGGATTTCTCTCAAGGCCAAAAAATCAGCTGATTGTGAGATTGTTGAAAAGTAACAAATGACTGAAATAACGTATTTCTTGCAGGTAATTCCGAGCT